ATAGTGATGGGTTTTGTTTTGTTTTATCCAATGCTACTGTTTTTCTCTTCAGTGGTGCATTTAAACCATTCTCATTCAGTGTAATTATTGAGAGACAAGGGTTTATTGCTATAATTTTGTTCTTTTTGGTGTTGTTGCTGTTTACTTTGGTCTATCCTGCTTTCTGTGACATCTCTATAAGGAATTCTCTCAGTGTTTCCTGCAATGCTGGTCTTGTTTTTACAAACTCCCTTAGGTTCTTCTTTTCTGAGAATATCTTGATTTCTTCATCATATTTGATGTACAATTTTGCTGGGTACAGTATTGTTTATTGGCAGTTGTATTATTTGAGTGTTCAATTATGTCATTCCACTGTCTTCTTGCTCAAGCTTCTTGCTTGTGATTTCTTCTAAGAAATTAGTACTTAATCTTATCTGCTCTCCCATATAGGTTACTCTTAATTTTCCCTTGTTGCTTTCAGAATTCTCTCCTTATCTTTGGTTCTGGTAAATTTGACCATGATATGCCTTGATGTTTTTCTTTTGGGGTTTATTCTACATGGAGTTTGCTCAGCTTCTTGAATATGTATTCTTTAATTCTTCATTATGCCTGGAAAGTTCTGTTCTAGTATTCTTCCACAACTTTCTTGGTAACTTTATTTGCTTCTTCCTATTCTGAGAGTCCAAAAATGCACGTTCTTCCTCTTCTTGGTGTTCCACATTATTCTTAGGCTTTCTTGGTTTTCCTTCCTTTTTTTTATTCTGCTTTTTGTTCTCATACATCAGTGGTGAGAATTCTATCTTCTAGTTCATTGGTTGTTTTCCATCTCTTCAACTCTGCTCTTATGTCCCTCTAACATGCTGACAGCATCTGAAACACTGGTCCTCAGATCCTGGATTATTGTTTCTTGTTTTTCCAGAGCCTTTAATGCCTCGTTTGCTTTATCTGTATTGTCTTGGATTTTTTAATTCTTCTTGGCTTTTGCTTATAGTGTCCTATCATTCTTCAAGTCTATCTTTCACTCATTAAAAATATTAAATCTTTGTTCTTTTGAAGTCTGTGTCAGAAAGTTCCATTAGACTTTCCAGCTTCAGGAAATCCATTGACTCTGTGTTTTGATTACTTTTTGGATGTGGCATCTTGTTTTGGTTTTGAGTAGAGTGTGAGGTTGTCTGCTTCTTCTGTGTTATTGCTGTGGTAGAGTTTATCATGCCTGGGGCCTTAGCAGGCCCTTGGTCTGATAACCTCAGCTCAGGAGCTCACTGTTCCTGAGGAGGGAAGGGCAGCTCACCCTGCTGAATTTCTCTCTGATGTTTGACTCAAGGGAGACTTGTTTCCGTTAGGGGAGAGATGGCCTGTGAATAAGCAACCTTTTCAGCCAGGAAACTGCTACAGCTAGGTGGCATCCAAGAGTGCACAGCTCAAGTACTGTGTCTGCGATGGGCCAGGGGTACCAAGGTGGTGTTCAGCAAGGAAATGGCTTCACCTGTGGTATTGGTGCTCCTGACACAGAATAGCATGGCAGTGAGGGCCAATCCACAAGGCAGGTTGGACCAAGGATTGTATCCTTTTTCCATACTTATTCAGTGCTGATAAGCTGGACTTTATGAAGGAGAATGTGGCATCAGGATTGGTCAAAGATTCATTAACAACCTGCATTGTGCAGATGTCACAACCTTGCTTGCAGAAAGTAAAGAAAACCTGAAGCTCTTACTTGTTTTTGTTAAATACTTTTGAGCTAGAACTGTCCCATGGGTGACCCTTCAGCGAGTTTCCAGAGGCAGTAAAATTGCACAGGAGGAGATAGTCTACATTTCTCCAGTGGACCGGCTGGTGGACTTAAATCGTGTTGACAGTGCAATTCCTTACCACTAAGCAGGCAGACTACACGTACCGAAGATCAAAGACTATAGCCTGCAATACAGTGTCCATCTCAACATCAAGAAATAATAATTCAGCTACAATGTCAGGCTGGAGACTAAGGTGTGCCTGATCTAGTCTATGTTGTTGTTGTTGTTATGTGCCGTCGATCCAGGCTATAGACTTTGCAATTACGTGTTATGCGTCGGAGAGTTGGACAGTAAATAGGGGTGACAGAAAGAGAATTGATGCCTTTGAGCTGTGGAGCTGGAGAAGAGTGTTGAATATACCATGGACTGCTAGGAGAACAAACAAGTTTGTCCTGGAGAGGATGAAGCCGGAATGCTCCTTGGAATCAAGGATTCTGAAGCTTCCTCTGACATACTTTGGGCATGTTGCAAGGAGGGACTGGTCCTCGGAGAGGGACATCATGTTTGGAAAAGTGGAGGGACGGTGTAGGAGAGGAAGACCCTCAATGAGATGGATCGATTCTGTGATCGGGGTGGTGGGAATGAGTGTGTTTGAGACAGCGAGGTTGGCACAGGATAGAACAGCATTTAGGGCTCTTGTACATAGGGTCATTGTGAGTCCCAAGCGACTCGATGGCACATAACAACAACAACAACCAGGAGAGAATAAAACAGGGATCTTATCACAAAACTTCTCCAACATGGTAAAAAGGAAACCCACAGACTGGGAAAAAAAATATTTGACAATGACCTATCTGGTAAGGGACTCTAATCTAAAATTTCTAGAATACTCTAACACTATAACAAGAAAAAGGTAAATAATTCAATGGCAAAATGGGTTCTCACAGGACATGAATAGACACTTCACCAAAGAAAACATTCATATGGCAAACAAACACATGAAGAAATGTTCAAAATCCCTAGCTCTCAGAGAGATGCAAATCAAAACAACCATGAGGTAACATCTCAGCCCAGTAACTACAGCAAAGTTCAACAGAGCAGCAAGCAACTAATGCTGGCGGGACTATGGAGAGATTGGAACCCTGATTCACTGCTGGTGGGAGTGTCAAGTGGTGCAACCACGATGGAAGGTGGTATGGTGCTTTCTCAAAAAGCTGCAAATAGAAATACCATTTGGTCCAGTAATTCTATGACTACAAATTCACCCTAAAGAAACCAGAGCCACAACTCAAACCGATATAGGCACACCTATGTTTATGGATGCATTATTCACAATAGCAAAGAAGATGGAAGCAACCTAAGAGCCTATCAATAAATGAATGGGTAGATACACTATGGTATATTCCCACAATGGAATACTATGCAGCACTGAAAAATAAGGAACTCATAAAACATTATACAACATGGGTGACCCTGGAGGACATTATGCTGAGTGAAATATCTCAGTCACAAAACGGTATATATTGCACAGCACCATTGTTATAAAACAGGACTGACATGGAGAATGGGGGGAAATTAGGAAAAGAGGGGATAGATAACAAACACTATATTGGAACAGGTCACGGAAAGAACTGTTAAAGAGGAATATATGATTAGACATTATTTGTATGACAACAGCCCAGGGTAAGAGGTGTCACAAAGTGTGTGTGTGGGGGGGAATGGAAGAGGAAAGAGAAAACTATGTAGTAATGAATGGAATTTTTTAAAAAAGTGAATGGGGGGGGTGGGTAGAGAAAAATGTGTACTAATTAATGAACAAAAATCCAACTTTTCTGTAAATTTCTATTGAAATAATAATTTTTTAAAAATCCTCACTACTGAATCAATAGGCAACATCATGATAGAGGGAGAAAGACTGAAGTTGTCAATGATTTCCTTTTACTTGGATCCACAATAATTCCCCATGGCAGCAGAAGTCAAGACGCTCAAGAAGTAGTGACGCTCAGGGTAAATGTGCTATCAAGAGTCTCTCCAAAGTTTTAAAGAGCAAGGATGTTAAAGTATGCCTGATACAAGTTATGGAATTTTCAATTGTTTCCTATCTGAAAGTCAGACAGTGAATAAGGATTACAGAAGAATAACTGATGCCTTTGAATTGTGCTGGTGAAGAGTTCTGAATATATCACTGCCAAAAGAACCACAAAATCTTCCTTGAAAGATGTGCAAACCAGAAAGCTCTTTAGAGGCCAGGAGGCCGAGACATGATATCCCTTACTGTGAGGCCAGGAGGCCGAGACTTGGTCTCCCTTACTGTGAGGCCAGGGGGCCGAGACTTGGTCTCCCTTACTGTGAGGCCAGGAGGCTGAGCTGTGGTCTCCCTTACTGTGAGGCCAGGGGCCAGGAGGCCAAGACTTGGTGTCCCTTATTGTGAGGCCAGGGGGCCGAGACTTGGTCTCCCTTACTGTGAGGCCAGG